TTGACCTCGCATCCCTACAAAGCCGGGACGGAGCACGCCGGGTTCTCACCGGACCAGGCTCTCACATCACCAAGCGCGAAGCGCCGTGAGATATTCGGCGAGTCGCATGAAGGGTGCGCTGCATCCTGCTAAGGGTGTTTGGCATCTTGTGCTTACTTCCTTGCATACGGATGACAGCTGCGTATGACTTACTATATTTTCTGGTGCTTCACTTCCAGAGACAGTTGAAAGCACTCCGTAACTGCCTCGAGGGTGCTTCACCATTATAACACAACGTGGTGCGATCATCCCCCTTGCGCGGAGTGAGGCTTCTCCACCCCGCACAACATGATCTACTCGACCACTATTATGGCTACTGTGGAGGTCAGGATATGGAGATTCAGGAAGCACAAACACACGTACATAAAGAGTCAGATCCAAGGGATATGTGATAATAGATCACTGTTGGTCCCAAGGGGTCATGACCCTACAGATTCCCAACGGCTGCGAATAGTTGATGAATCTTTAGGAGGATGGGGAAATGAGTCCACGAAGGCTCACCCACACTCTCCGCACCACCCTAGCTTGACTGAGTTCGCTCGGTCACGCTTGGCATTCCTCGCCACATTACACCAAAGGAAATAGCCAACCTCCGGTGGCAGGACATAGCCACCACAACCCTGGACTCTCCACTCACCCAGAGTAGAGGGCATCCATACTACCGCCAAAAAAAATCAGAGGTAAAACAACAAAAAACGGGAACCTGGTTGCCGAGTTCACGAAGTGAATTGGCTTATTTTACAACGTCGTTGCCAAGCGACGAAAACCCAACCCCGATGGCAAACACCGGAGGAGCGAGGGGGGTGGTCTTTCTAGCGAACAGGGCTAGACTCACCCTCAAGGGACCGATACCTTCTTGCTGCGGCGCACCCGCCGCGAGGCGTGCGTAGTGGTGGAGTTGGGTCGGCACTGGTGCGTCAGGTACAAAGGTGCAGATATATGCGCGGGCCTCCAGGCCGTCCGTGTAGGCAGCAATGCCCATCTCATCTTTCTGCGCGGAGGCAGACGCCATCAGGAATGTGGACGGGCACTATGTACACGGCCCTAGGTTTGCTAGAGGGAGCTGTACTGTCTCAGTAACCTGGTTTTGCCATCAAAGGAGGAGGGGACAGGTGGTGACGAGCTGATTGGGCTGGTTGACCCTTCGGCGCGAGGATTTGCAGACCAAGAACCCTAAGTGCAACGAGGGCGAAAGCGAGGTACCGACTGGGAAGGACAGCAACGAGAGCGTATACGAAGCGGAGCGGGTCGAGTTTGGTCGTGCTAGGACTGGCCACAGCGGCACCGTAGAAGCGGCACCGGAGAAGCGGCACCGGAGCAGCGGCACCGGAGCAGCGGGACCCGAGCAGCGGCACCGGAGCAGCGGAACCGGAGCATGCAGACGGCGTTGAACCGTGGCGCACGGACAAACATCGTCCCTTTGTGTTTGTCAATTAGTTCTCCGTTTTTTTCCTGACTGAGTATAGGTGTTGGGTGTGTGTGATGACGTCACTGGTTTTGTAGATATACACGGCAGAGATGGCGCGAATAACCCGGGTGCCTTAATTGTGTACCTGCATCGTGGAAGACCCCTTCAGTGTGGAACGATTCCTGTCAGTGTCGATGTTTACACTGCTGTGCCTAAACACACATGATCTGGATAAATTCGGGTGATCGTCAATTAATTGCAATGATGATGGCTTTGGTTGGCTGTTCTTCTTCATTGTTTGTCCACGGACTTATTCTGACAGCACTTCAGACAGAAGCTGCATGCCCCGAGCTTGTGTACAGATGGCGTCCAACCTCTAGTTTCGGCCGAGGCTGGGGTTCTTCTTTTGCTGATTATCCTCTTGCGGCCTATAAATGGCCGCGATATAGATTTTAGTGTCGGGTTCTTTACCGAGCTCACAAATGGTGCTCAGGTTCTTAGCTTCTGATATTTTGCGAGTGAGAGTCAACTTCTTAACTGCCAATTTCCTAACGGGCGCTGTCTGTACCATGCACCATGGTGTTGTTATTATTGTACAGACAGCACTTCAGACAGCAAGAGTACGCTGTGCTGTTGCAGTCAACATTCACTTCATGCTGCTGCTGTATGTATGTATGTACTCTGTGGTCTGCCCCTCTGGCCCCCATCCTCCACTTCTACCAGCTAGACGACCCGACCGGGGTCATATNAATTGTGTACCTGCATCGTGGAAGACCCCTTCAGTGTGGAACGATTCCTGTCAGTGTCGATGTTTACACTGCTGTGCCTAAACACACATGATCTGGATAAATTCGGGTGATCGTCAATTAATTGCAATGATGATGGCTTTGGTTGGCTGTTCTTCTTCATTGTTTGTCCACGGACTTATTCTGACAGCACTTCAGACAGAAGCTGCATGCCCCGAGCTTGTGTACAGATGGCGTCCAACCTCTAGTTTCGGCCGAGGCTGGGGTTCTTCTTTTGCTGATTATCCTCTTGCGGCCTATAAATGGCCGCGATATAGATTTTAGTGTCGGGTTCTTTACCGAGCTCACAAATGGTGCTCAGGTTCTTAGCTTCTGATATTTTGCGAGTGAGAGTCAACTTCTTAACTGCCAATTTCCTAACGGGCGCTGTCTGTACCATGCACCATGGTGTTGTTATTATTGTACAGACAGCACTTCAGACAGCAGTAGTACGCTGTGCTGTTGCAGTCAACATTCACTTCATGCTGCTGCTGTATGTATGTATGTACTCTGTGGTCTGCCCCTCTGGCCCCCATCCTCCACTTCTACCAGCTAGACGACCCGACCGGGGTCATATAGGAGGGGGGGGGTGGACCCCCTCCTGCGGTTCCTGCCTGAGATATTTTGATCGCGAGAACGGTACAGCAATCCCTTCCCTCGCGACGTATTTATGAAGTCGATCAAGTTTACTAGCAACGAGCTTTGCAGCGCGTCGCTTCCGACGGAGACCAGGATTTAATTGGCGAGAAAAAACTCACTGTGTGGGCGCGTAGTTCAGTTGTGAGCACGCAAACGTGCTGCAGGGATTGTAGGTGTCTACCTATCCTCGGGCTTGTGTACCGTCTTCCTACTTCCTAATAATACAGAATAGTCTAGTGTGCGTGCGTGTTCTTTATCTTCTGATGGTATTTTGTGACCACGGACCGAGTCATTGCTAGATTTTGGGATTATTAGCAACTGACACGAGTTTCATGTGAAGAAAACAACAACAGCAATAATAGTCTACATGTCTTGGTCCACCCAGAGACACAACGAAGCAAGAAAAGGTTGGCTGTTGGCTGTTGCTGGTTGGCTGTGTGTTGCGGTTTGTGGCAATAGTTCCGCCGCACCAGGATCCCCGCAGGGAGTCTACGGCAGTCTGCTGTGCCCCGCTGCGGGTGCTCCTGAGAGACTCGCCTTCTCGCTGCCTGGGCATGTAACCAAGTACGCCCTGGCCATAAAAACAACGACCAAGGAGGACTTTTCTCCGACACATACCACCTCCAGCAGCTCAACGAACTCTCCATTGCCCATCGAATTGTTTCATATTGTGCATTCGCTTGAGGCCAGGCTGTGTTGTCTCCAATTCCCCGCCTATTGACCCCTATTGGTAGCTACCAAGGTGAGAGTTACGGACATGCATGATCGACCATGATCATGGGCAACCGTAACACAGTTTGCCCATACAGTAGCCGCAAGATATGCTACCTGTGGTTCAATGACATCGCGCGCCCTGAGATTGATTTTTCATTTCGACCCCAGCTGTGGGCTGATCCGGACGAAGTGGCACGCAGTTCGCTGATTGGTCGAAAAATCGAGCAGCCTGGCTGGCCATTTGCCCCACGCACACCGCGCCCTTTTCACCTATATGTTTCTGCGGCTGCTTCGAATCCAACGGCGCGGTGTTCCCCGCCACCCGAAATAGAGAGGAAGGGATCATCCACCATCTACACACTGGCGGCGCTTTATCACTCAACTCCATGCGAGAAGCGAACCGTATTCAGCTTCAACGTCTCGCTGAGGAGGTGGGTATCACATGGGAGAGGGGGAAGAGAGAGAGAAAAGTTAGTTGCTTGGTGCATCTCTCTTATTGGTCTTATTTATCGACACACTCCCCTCCCCCCCTGTAACCCCTCGTTTCTCATGTATAGTAGAGCATTGGGGTCTCTCCTCTGTTTTCTCGTTGAGACGTTTCTTGTATAGTGTGGCCCAGATTGAGCTATTGTGATACTTGACCCTGTATTCCTGGTTTTTTCGAAAATGAGCCTTTGTTTCTTGCAAATTTCTTATTCCTACTAATTCGATCTCTTTCCTCCGGCCGTCGCTTTGCATATGCATCTATTCATTGTGCGTCTCTGCTCTTCGAACAAACAAACAACTTTTCACTTTTCGCAGTATTTCTTCCTCGTATTTCTCATTTCAAAACTCCTCCCGCACACACTTGCCATCGCCATTCAACCGACGAGCGTAGGGGCGACGGTATGCCGGGAAGCGCCCTTGTAGAGAGATACATTTATCTGTTTTTGTGTTGAAATTGAGCTACAGGGGCGAACACATGGAATGCGCGCTTCGTCATGTGCTCGTGTCGTTGGCTGCCCCAAGCTTGCACCTACCCCGATTAAAGGGTATTCCCTGCTGGTTAGCAGTCTGTTTATTGCACGCAGAACGATATGTACCGGATCCTTGCGCCCCTCTGTTTGCTTTGGGTGGACAGCCGAACCGGACGAGCGGGTCACATCAGATTACTGCGTCTCTTGCGGCCAACCAGGCCTACCTGCAGGGCATTGAAGCCGAGCGCGAGGTGCTCGAGGTGTGTATGCGATCCCGTCTTTGGCAGCGAAGGCCAAGAGAGCCACAAATAGGAAGGCGGCATGATTGTTGTAGGTCCTCCCGCGAATGCACTCACTCGCGAAATAGATCCTCACCGCTCTCCTTTATGTCCGTGTTTCGCGAGCGCCTTGTGTGGGGATGCCCCTCAACCCTCTGTTCTGTTTATTTGATTTTTTTTAATGTGGCGGTTGTTTCTGAGCGACCTCGTGGAGCAAAACTCGTCTTTGCGTTCGACGCAAGGCCAGACGGGGTGTGCCGTGTGACACCTACCTCTCTCCTTTGTTTCGTTGTCGAGTTGGACTAGCCCGTCGTCGTCTCACCTGTCGGTACGAATATTCATCATTTCAATTTTCGCCCGGCAGCTGTTTCGAATTTGGGTGGAGTAGAGATTTGTCCTCCCTCGCGATGTCGCCCGCATGGCGTGGTTGTGCGCGGATTCGCCGCTAGTTCCCGCCCAACAACAAGGATCTTAGGCTCTATGGATCGTGCAAACATTCCATCCGCCCGACCACCCGGCACCCTCCACTCTTGCTAATCGAACGTCAAAACCCGTCCCCGGTGTCATACTCCTCCAGGCATACGACAGTGAGTCCTCGCACGGCGGCGAGAGTGTCGAGATGGCTGATGGTGACGACGATTGGGTGCCCACCACCACCAAGGTTAGTTTTTCTTCACTGGCGAAGGAAATCTTCTTTTTTTCTCTGACGGTTGTTCTTTATGTTGTCGGCGTTGACGTTGTTCGTTGATCTTTGCCTCGGCGTCTCGGTGCTTGCAGAGCGCGCGCGCGGGGGGGGGCGGGGGGGG